GGCTGCAGGATGCTTTCAGGGCTAATGCGTCAGGGGGTCCAGAGGCTGCACGCACATGCGCCGTGTGGATGGCTGGGGGCCACACTGTGGGCCCACCCAGCCCCATGCAGGCCAGAGAGTCCGCACAACACCGAGGGCCAGGACCGACATCTGGGCGACCCGGGTGTGGCCACGGCAGCACTGGGCACGCCTCGCCTGTGCCTGCGCCGGTCTACCCGCGGGCACTCACCTCGGCCGGAAGCAGGGTGTAGGAGTAGAACTGCTTCATGTGGGTCACCAGATCGTCCGTGGAGAACGTCACGTACTCCACAAACTTCCGGTTCAGCAGGAACCAATCGGAGCCGCCGTCCACGGCCACGCCCTCTGGGATCCGCCGGTCCCCCAGGCGCCACATGTGGGCATCGCACTCCAAGAAGAGCCGGTCCAGGCCTTGTTTCCGGATAAACCTGGGGAGACAAAGCCGCCCTTAGCCCGGAGGGGCTCCACCCAAAGTCGGCGAGATGGCACCTTCGGCGCAGCAATTCCCTTTACTGAGCGCTCGTCTGTGCCAACGTGCTTCCCACAGCATCCCTGGGGGTGCCTGCGTGACCCCCTCTTCCACAGGGAGAAGCGGAGGCACAGAGGGTAGGGCACCTTCCCCAGTGCACAGTCAGAAGGCGGTTCCTGACGGCTGCAGTGACTTTTCTAGAGAATGCTAGGGGCGCTTGGTGGCGTGGAGACCCAGACAGTTGGGTGAATATACCCATTTCAGGATGATACTCTAGTGTATCTAATAATAATAGTCTTGCAAGGTACTTTTTAAAAAAAAACCCACCCTATTGATAGTGTTTAGCAAAAGCATGCTCTTTATGAACCCGTTAAGCAAGAGGCTCCGGTGACAGGTGCCTTGCGGCAATGCTGGAGAACATGGCATGGCTGGGTAAGCGCAGGACTGCCGCCTGCAGGGCTGGCGGTCCGAACCCACCTGCTGCTCGGTTCTCTGTTCCCATACAGAGTTACGGGACCTGACATGCTACAGAGGGTGGCTATGAGGTGTACTTGACTTGCTGGCAGGGGGGGTTGGTTTATCCCTTGGGTGCCGATGCTGAGGAGGCAGTAGAGGGGCCAGCTCCTCCCTCACAGGGGCTCTGGTCTGCCTGAAGGGAGAGGCGGCCCGCAGGCACACATCGTCCTGGTTTAAAGGTGCTCTAAGGAACTTCCAGAAATGTAAGTCAACAGACCTGCGACCGGGAGAGACCATTCCCTGGAAAAGGACATCGTGTTTGGTGAAGTGGAGGGGCAGGGAGAAAGAGGCAGACCTTCTAGGAGGTGGACTGACCCATTGGCTGCAACAATGGGCCCCAACGTGACCCTGGTGAGGACAGTGCAGGGCCAGGCAGGGTTCATCCTGTGGTGCAGATGCTCGCTGATGGGCAGAACCGACTCAGTGGCACGGAATAATAATGATGATGATGAGGATCCCGGTGGCACGCTGGTTAGGTACCCTGCTTGTGAACCCAAAGGTCAGTGGTTTGAACCCACTCAGTGGGGGGAATGGTATGGCAGCCCGCCTTCATAATGCACCTTGTGGGTGCAGCTCCCTTCTGTCTTTTTAGGTCATCATGAATCAGAATCAACTCAACAGTAACAGGTTTCGACACCCACTGCAGTGTGATAGGAAAACATACGGTTTCCTTGCGTGGCAAAGTCACCAGTCGCAATGCCACTGAATCAATTCCAACTCATTAGTGACCCTGTAGGACAGAGCAGCACTGTCCCTGTGGGTTTCTGAGGCGGTCACTCTTTATGGAAGTAGAGAGCCGCTTCTGTCTCCTATGGAGAGGCTGGTGGTTTTTGAACTTCTGACCTAGTGGTTAACAGCCCAGCTTGTAACCCTGTATGCCACCTGGGATCCTTGACGAAGCCCTTGTGCCTGTGAATTCCACTGTGATGCTGCCGCGTCTGCAGCTAGTGTCCACTTCTATAGGAAGCAGACCACACTCCCAAGGAAGCCTCAGGGTTAGGACCTGCCAATCCCGTGTTCTTCCTCCCCTGAAGCGATTCGAGTCAGGAGACACCTCCAGCTACATATCTGACCCACAGACTTGAAACTAGCCTGGCCTTAGCTGCTTCTATAGCTATGTGAGTAGTTTTCTCGATTTAATTTCTTCATATATATATATATAATCAATGGTTTGCTTCTCTAGAGAATCAGCCTGACATAGGGGTCAAGGTGAGGAGGAAGATGATGGAAGAGGTAGGACCTGAGTGAGGTAACGGATGTTGAATGAGGAGGGTGTGGGCAATTGAGAGTCAAGTCACAGCACAACGGAAGGGATGGAGCCTGGGGAGCATACCGTCAGGACTTCAACAGTGGATGGCCATGGGCTGCCCATACAGTCGCTTTGCCTGCCCAACACCATTCTTGATTTTTCTCGGAACCAGACCTTGTATTTATTTAGGACAGCCCCTCTTCCCTAACCTTTCTATCACCCCCTCGATACCAGGGGGTGTGAACAAGATCCAGACTGAGCTCTATCTACCTGGCCACCATGGCAGACTGGTCCTGCATTTTTATGTATCCACTGAGAAGGTCTGTC